AGGGCAGTGCCTGTTGGAAGCTTTAACGAAGTCACAATTCGCAGGGTGAGATGGAAGCCGACGCCCTCCTTGGAGTAGCATCTGGGCTGCCCCCACACTTGCTGAGATTGTGAGCCCTGAACCCAGGATGATGGCATCACCAGGGACCTGCTCTGAGGAGCTTCCGTGGTGATCTTGGGACTTAATTTCTTTCCTTTTCCTCCAAACAATAGAGTCAAAAGAATTCTCTCATTCTGAACCTCTCTCATCTGTCTCTTAGAAACACTGAAAATCTTAAATCTGCCAGCAAGCAGCTCACCTTCCTTGGGTTTCCACTGAGCCCATAACCACTGCATTTTTTGAATTCATTAAAGCAAAGCCAGGATGCACACCTGACAGCCAAATGAGCAGCTGAGAAAACCATAGCACTCTGCTCTGGTGAGGAGCAATTAGTCACAGATATCTGTGCTGCACTGTGACCTGAACCTGGTATGCTGGGGCTCAGTTCACTGCAGGTGGCAAATCACAGCTCACAGAACAGCCCATCAGTCAGTGATGTTTACTTGGCAAAGGAAATGGTAGATGAGACTCAACATCTCAAGCGCTTATCACCAACAGAATATACAGAAAAGAAACAGGAGCCTAGTTTCTAGACTACACTGCAGCCCATGGATCAATCAACCAACAGAAGAATCGGTCAGTAGTAAACAGTGGTGACCCACCCCACTAAAGTCAAGTGCAAAGAGGGCCTTGCAGAAGCTCGTGGCCAGGCAGGTGCAGGCCTGGGAGTATCTCAGAACCAACATAAGTCCCCAGTGGTGGCTTTCAGGCACACATACCCTCACCCATGAACTTTCCAGATGCCAGGTCACAGCAGGACCAGGAGGCCCTGCAGCCCAAGTCGCTTATGTAATTGTCAGACTTCCAGCCAGCCCACGAGAAGGAAAGCAGGAGAAGCAGCCAAGGGGTAGGCCATCATGGTTAGGGTGCAACACAAGGGACCAGAGGAAGAAGTCATGGCGGCCCTGGGGAGAGGAGCGTGTGATTCAAGAGAGATGTGGTGGTAGGAGGATTGGGGGCTCAGCTGTGGTGACCATGGCGCACACATGGCATACCGTGATTGGGCATCCTCTTAGCAACGGCCATGCCTCGTGGCCAGCAGACATGGGCTCCCAACTGGCCAGGTTGTCATCACTCTAAGTTACCACTCTAGGCCGTATATAATTTCATCTCACTGACCCCACGGGGCTGGCTAGGAACTGTTAGGGACTGTGAGGGGTCAATGACAAGCCACTGACAAAAGTAACCCCAAATTTCTCTTACCTTATCACTATTGGTCAAGAACCTGTGACTTCCCATTGGTAACTACAAATACTATTTTGTATTCTTACTAGGGCTCTATAGGACTGTGTAGAATATAGAACAATGCGTGCTCTAGTATAGTTCCCAGAAGTTCAGGGGTAACTGCATCCGGGTTCACGCTTTCTAGGCTCTCGTTATACTCGTTGAGAATCCCTGATCTTGGGTGACTCACTATGATGACCACAGGCTGCCTGAGCACAGGCTCCCTTCCCTGCCTAGACCCCTCCCCGCTGCCTGTGCAAACACGAGTGTCCTGTGTTCTGCAAGACCTGGCCCAGCCCCCTGCAATCGCCCTGGCAGGACCCTGCCTTTGTCTGAAGCTTCTTACACTCAGAGCTGCACTCCCTCTGCTCGCTGTCTGGGCGCCTCGGTTCACTGTTCTTGGATTGAGCTCTTCGTCCTTTCTCTCCAATTAACTACAAATTTCTCAACGTTGTCTTGTCTTCTGAGCTGCTACCTCAAGTCCTGAGCCTCAGCTAACCGCCAGCTCTGAGGGTGCAGAGGAAGCCTGACCTGTTCAACTTCTGCAGAGCTGATCTTAGGGGTCCCCAGAGGCCCATGTGTTAAAGACTGGGTCTCCAGACTGGTGCTATTCGGAGATGGTGGCACCTGTAATGGGTGGGGTCTAGCGGGAGGCCTGGGGTTTCTGGGGGTGTGCCCTTGAAGGGGATTGCCAGGAATCCAGCTTCTTCCTCTCCTTTTGCTTCCCAGCTACCATGAGGTGAAAAACTTACACCACCATGCACACCTCCACACCTCACCACAGACCCAAAAACAACAGGACTAACTGACCATGGACTGAAACTGTGAGATAAAATAAACCTTTCCTCTTTTTTAATTTGATTAGCTCAGGTATTTTGTCACAGCAACAGAATGCTGGCTAAGACAACAACCCAAAATGAAGTCCTGTGACTTCATTTATGGAAAAGACACCATATTACTGTCAGTATTCTTTGTATCATATGCATAGTCTCCTGTAATGTGGGGAGCAGACAGACCACGGCCCTTGGCTACCAAACCCTTCACATGTACATGAGATGGCTGAAGCCCAGAGAGGCTGGCTATTTCCTAAAGATCCCTCAGCACAAGACCCCAAGTCTCCTCCTTTCTGGCTTCATCTTCTAGTGCACATGCCTGCAATGGCCAAAGGGAATGACCCAAACCCACACCCTTCACCAACATGAATTTCCAGGAATGCGACTGGAACAATGCTCGCTTCCACTGCTAAGTGAGCCCAGAGGAATCAGAGAGCTCAAGGTATGTTCCCAGTGATACAACTGTAGTTCCTTTTTCCTCAGTGGAAACGCCGAGCATTAAAATTTTCCAAACACCATCTTGGATAAAAGAGAAGTGCCTGTCTTTGCTGCAGCTCCAAACATCTCCAGTGAGTGTAAACTGGGAACTTCTCTGAGCTGCAGCTTCTCTCAAGAGGTTGTTTTGATTTATTCTGATCACATCTGACAGCCAGCATTTCTCTTAATAAACATCATAACTGAGTGGGCTGGGGTCACCTGACCCCAAAGGAGCAAATCTCCTATCACATCTATCACTGAGTGCTGGCTCTGCACGCTTGAGCACCAAGGTCCAGTGCTCCCGCTGTCCATGTTAAATCCCTTCTCCAGTGCCTCGCCTGGCATTTTCATGTCACTGTTTTCCTCCAATGCTCTTTTCCTTTCTTTTCCCTAAGAGGAGACCCTCAGAGGACAGCGGCTACAAAAGGACTCTGCCCTGAGCAAGGACACATGCATGGCCTGCAGATGCTCTCCAGGCAATTACTTTATACATTTGTTCTTCTTACTCCATTGTAACAGCCAAACCAATACAGAAAGTCTTGAAGAGAGACTAGAATATAGTCAGAGAACAGAACGGACTGGCAGATTCAAGGTACTACAGTTACGAGTGTACAAAAGCATTCTTGTTACATCACTGAAACACAGATGACACGAAGCAAACATTACATAATCCTCTGGAGACTGAAGCCAACACTAGATGGGTGGCAATAAGAGGGTTATCAAGCAAGAACTGAGAAGACCAGCAGACTTTTCCCATCAAGACACTGGCGTGGATCAACTATCCTGTTATTTTTGGTAATGGATACCAGTATATTTCTGTGCCCTTGGCCCTGACCGTGGGCCTCAGCAGCTGTTATGTCACACAGAATGGCTTGTCACTTTCATCTTGTCTCATATTGGGTTCTGTTCCAAGGTCTGAGAGCAGCAGAGACTGAACCACACCCCTGGGAAATGCAGGTGTCAAGGTGTGGATGGCCATGATGGGGGTGAGCATGCTCAGAACATACCAACCACCCCCCTGCCATGTTCTGTGATCTGGGATGGATGGGCGGACGGGGCTGGCCACTCATGGCATGGAGATGGAAAATGACTGCATATTTCCTTCATGTTGATTTCTTTGATTTGAGGAAGACAAATGGTTTATGGCAGGTATCGATCACAGCCCTTACATGGGGTAGGGGGTGGGGGCTTCTAGAGCTTAGGCTCACCGGGGGTACGACAAGGAAAAGCAACCCCATGACTGGCAGTTGAACTCTATGGGACAGCTTCCGGGAAGAGAAGCCCCACTTCACCTCATCTTTTAATCCCAAATGAGAGCTTCTTAGAAGGCCCCCACCTGCAGAAGGCAGTGGATGGCATAGGCCAGGTCAGTGGGCAGCAGCCCCTGCCCCTTCCCTCAACCAAGGCCCAGAACTGCAGGTGGCGCTCAGCATGAGAATCTGTCCCATTAAAAAAGGAGAAAGTCCTTTGGCATAGCACGAGTAGAAGCAATTTCTTCAGAAGCCAGAACAGAGATGATGCCAGCACCATTCTCAATGCCTGCTGATCTTGGCACTTTTTGCCATTGCCTCTCTGCCCTCTTCTCTCCTTACTGTCCTTCCACCTCATCTACCCTATGGAGAGCTGGGTCTTCAGCTCTGACCTTGGTCCTCTTCTCCACCATAACCTGCCATTATGTGTCACCGCGAATTCCAAGGAGCAAGTCGGTGGTTCATCGTGAGTTCTTTAGGAGTACTTGCCTGTTAGGGCAGATTCCTGGAGGTGGTAAGCACGCCCCCCACAGGTGGGCGGATATACACTGCACTGCCTTCTATGTGTGTGTGGAGCACTGCAGGCCTGAGGTGGCCTGGAGTGTGGCTATCCACAGTGTTTGGGGTGGAATGAAGGAAGGGCCTCTCCCTTTGCACATACCATGAGACATGCACTCCATCCCTGTCCTTGAGAGGGGCTGACAGGGACTTGGAAGCCACCAGGGCTCTGCATCCACTGGGTGATGAGGGTAGGAACCCTGACCTGACCCCTGAGAAGGTTCTGGCAGTATTTTTTGTCACTGAGCAGATAAGCTCATATGTCTGGGTTTGGGGGGTGAGGGGAACCAGAGGAGATAGAACCAGTTCCCCACCCTGCACCCCCACAGCTAGTCAGAGTGGCTCCTGGTGTGCCCAGCTTCCAAGTCGTCCGGCCCTGCTGACCACCAAGGGGCATCCCCAGCCTTATCACCTAATAATGCACACTACAGTGGTTTTGACAGCGACCTCTCCCTGGTCACTCCCGGCCAAGGCCCACAGGTGACAGGATCCTGTGGGAGGAAGGTCCACACAGCATGTCTGTCCCTGCCCGCCCCAGCTCCTGGGCCCAGGCCCCTACCTGAATTGGACCTCTTCTTCGGGGTTTTGAGACTCCGGCACCTGCCACCCACGGAGCTGCTGTTCTCGCTCATGGAGTCCTGGGCGGAGGACGCGCTGCCAGTGGCCTCGCTGTCCCTCACCATGCTCTCGTAGCCGCTGCTGCCTCCGCTGTGGTAGAACAGGGCGGTCTTCCCCATGGCCGGCGGGAGCTCCCCGCTCAGCACGCTACTGTTGTCACTGCCGTGGCCGCTGCTGCAGCGGTGTGGCTTCCGAGGTGGCGTCACCTTGCTGTAGGGCGAGGGCAGCAGGGGCGCAGCCGGCCTGTCCTCCGCGGGGCCTCCGCGCTCCTCCGCCTCGGGCCCGGCCCGCAGCTGCGCGCCCGCGCGCCCACGCTGCCCTGTAGCAGCTCCGAGATGCGCCCGTTGACTGCTCGCAGGGGCAGCTTGGACGCCAGCCCAGAGCCCCGGCTCCTGCTGAGCGACTGGGTGGACCAGGACGTGTGCTTCCCGCCCGGGGGCAGGCTGGAGCTCTGGCCCACCGACTGTGGCAGGGACTTGGTGGAGAAGCTGAGCGTCTTGGTGGTGGAGGTGGACAGGCTGCGCGCTTTGGGGCTGGCCAGCAGGAGCTTGCTCACTGCTGAGATCTTGGACTGGCTGGCCTTGGGCGAGGCCCCCACCGACTGGGTGGTGCCACAGTTGAGGGGCGAGGCCCCTGTGCTGCTGCGCCCCAGGCTCCGGCCTGCGCGGGGCATGGTGCTGTCTTTGCCCACGGGCATCCGTGAGCTCATGGAGGACAGGCTCTCGGCCCTCTCTAGCGACAGGCATTCATAGTGGCTGACTGTTGCTCTGCCAAGAGAGTTGGTCCTGCTGGCCAGCTGCTCCAGCTTGGCACTGAACAACTTGCTGCTGCTGCTGCTGGCCTCCTTCATCTTGCTGGGCTCATCCGGGAAGCTGGCCAGGAAGGTGGCTGGCTGATTCAGGGGGCTACTGGTGCTGCTGCTGCTGCCACTGTGCTGGGGGCTGGCCCGGTTCTTCTGGTCCAAGCTGGACTTGCGGACAGGAGGCAGAGGAGGCGTTCCTTTGGGTCGAGCCAGGACACAATGCTTGGGTGAAGCCACCTTCCTCTCCAGGGTTGCCTTTGAGGGCTGGGCTGGGCCCAGGCCGTTGGTGTCCGCTGCGTACTGGTAGAAGAGGCTGTCCAGCTCCTCCTGCCGGCTGGTCTTCTGAAATGCCCTTGGGAGGCTGCTGGACTTCAGGCTTTTGTTGCAAGGCATGGGGCTCTGGACCACCAAGCCGGGCAGCGTCATCTCACAGCCATCCACTACTCTCTTGAAGTTTTCGGTCACCGGGGAGGCAGACACCTCGCCACTGCTGCCGCTCAGCCTGTCCCCTGCGCCGGGCTTCCGGTCCTGTTCCTGCTCTGGTCTGGCCTCAGGCTTTGTGGGGCCTGTGGCGGCTTCATAAATAGTCCCTTCTTCGCTGGGATAGGCATTGTCTTTTTTCACTTCCTCTTCTCGTTTTAGCCAGGGGTCTTCAAATTTCATCTCTTTCTTTGCACTGGTTTCCTTGCTCTCTTGGGCCTGGGCTGCTTTGGGGGCTGCTTTGGGAGTGACCGAGGAGGCCTCGGGCTCTTGCACACTCCGGGGGCTCACAGCGATACAGGGGTAAACCGTGATGTTTGTTTTCATGGGGATGTACCCTTCGCAGCCGCTCAGACTGGCTGTGTTGGAGATTGTGACCATAGCCTTGCCCAGAGCGGATATCCTGCAGCCTTTGATGGGAGTGGCTTTGGTGAAAGAGTCTTCCCCTACCTCAGACAAGATGAGCAGGTTGTCGGACCCCGCCCTGGGCTTCTCGCTGCATACCACAGCGGTGTTCTGGATGCTGCTGACGAACTCCGAGGCCGGCGGCTCGGCCATAGCCTCCCCGTGCCCGAAGCACGTCTGGGCTATGAAGCTGTGGCAGGACTGCTCGCCATCACTGCCTGTGCTCATCTCGCTGAGCCAGGAGCTGATGGAGGAGCGCCGGCTGCCTGCCTCCCGCACCTTCTCATCCAGGTTCAGCTTCGGGAGGGGCAGGAACTGCGTGATGCTCACCTCAGACACAGGTGCCATGCTGGAGTAGCACTCCAGGTCTTCGCTGATGCTACTGATGATGCTGACGGGCCGGGAGCCCGAGGCCAAGGCCTGCACTGAGCAGTCACTGTTGAAGCTGATGATGCTGGTGGGACGGCCGCTGTCCAGGACCCCGCTGATGGTCAGTTCCTCCACCAGCGTGAACACCAGCTCGTCCTCCCCGTTCAGCTCCAGGGGCTGCTGCACTGTCACCATGGTGGTGCTCACGATCTCCTTCTTGGCGTCTGGAGACGGAGCTTCCTGATGTTCCTCCTCAACGGGGGTTTCTGGGAACCCCTCGCTCCCTGCAGACAAGGATTTCTTCAAAACCTGGGGACTCATTCCAACCGGGGGAGTACGGACTTCAGGCTGCAGCAAGGACTCACTAGAGACCATGCTGGAGTCCTTGCTCAAGGGAGGCAACGGGGCAGAGGAGGGCAGGACCCCCTTCTGGGTGTAGACTTTGCATCTCTGCGAGGGAGAGCCGGGGGGCTTGTATTCTGAGGTCTTGGACAGGCTGGCAATGCCTAGCCGGGGGGAGCCCATGGGCCTGGGCTTGCCTTCCACGAAGCTGCAGGAGTTCAGGCTCTCCCGGCTGCTCTGGAGGCTGAGGCTCTGCACAAGCTGGGAGGCGCTGTGCTGGCTGCTGCCGCCTGGTATGCTACGGGTTGAGGCCGGGCTGGGGCTTCTTCGCGCTGCGGCAGGCACAGGGGAGAGACTCCTCTGCGTCTTGGAGGCTGGGGGCTCCGTACCTTCCCTGTCGGTCAGCTGGCCACCATCTGACCGGCTGTCTTCTTTATCAGACTCAGACAGTGGGTCGGCCCCAGCTGCTTGGCTTAGCGGGGGGCATCTGCCTGCCTGCTCTGGCCCCAACTGGACAGGCAGCTCTTCGAAGGGAAACTTACTGGGCTCCTCGCTGCCGTCGATGCAGTCCAGCCTCTCTTGGAGCTCGGCGAACGTGTTGCACTTCAAGCAGTCCCTTTCTGATTTGCCAGCAGCAGCCTCCACTGCCTCTGCAGGCCGGCTGTCACCCCTGGTCTTCTGCAGGGCTGGCACGATGGGGACAAAGTCTGGGGGCCCCTCGTTGTCGGTGAGCTCCTTGTCGGAGAGGGCTGTGCCATTGGGCCCGATGTAGATGACGGTGTCACAGGACTGCTCGCTGCTGGAGGAGTAGTCGGGATCGCTGGACAGGGGACCGAGGGGGAAGTCGGGGTCCGCCGCGGCCCTGGCGTGGAACGGCCTCAGCTGGGTGGGCCTGCGCATCCTGCCCTCCTCACAGGAGCTCTCTCCTCCAGAGGAACTTGATGTGTACTGTGAGCGAGAGGATGGTTAAGGTGGCCGCTCTTTCCAGCCAGCCCTCCTAGGGAGCCGGGCACCCTGCAGCAGGTGGGCTCTGCTGACTCCACACAGGCTACTGAAGGGTAGCCTGCTTGCCCTCCCTGCATAGGGGCTGTTACTCAGGTGGGCCATTCCAGGGTACCCACAGTCACACGTCAAGTCTGCATGTGCACAGGATAACCCTTGGAGGGCACACTGGGCACTGGGCTGCTTGGGAGAGGAGGCGACCAGTCCAGGCCCACCTGACCTCCTTAGGGCTGTTCCCCTGCCACAGAAAACTGGTTGTATGGCTGCTTTATACCAGAAACAACAGCAGCATATAAAGAAGAAGGGGAAAGCCCCACACATCACTGATGGCGTGGGTCTGAGTTTTCCCAAACCATGGTTTTCCTGAACATTTTTGCCATGCTACCCCGGCCTGGCTTTGCCTAGTGGCATAGAGCAGACTCAGCACCATGCAGAGACCACCAAGACAACATGCAAACCCAGCAGCCAGGAATGAGCTCCTGGACCTGTGGGAGGAGAAAGGCCAGTGAGACAGGAGTTAGCGGTCCTCCCTGGAGGGTTGAAGGACAGTAGGGCCAGGCAGGCACAAGACCTGAGAGAGTCCTCCTCTCCCCCAACATCACCATCTCACAGTGGCAATGCATTTGACTAGCTTAAGGGGACAAGCTTGATGTCCAGGGACAGCAGTAGCTGCGGGGAGGGGACTTGACTTTCTCCGGTGTCAGCTGGAAGGTTTCTCTGCCTCAAGGTGGATGTCACTGTGGCAATCACACTTGCGCAGGCCATGGTGCTCGGGGAGCAAGCAATTACTGTTTGTTTGACTCTTCCTGACTCAGTTCCCTACCCCTCCCGCTCCCCATGAGCGCCTTACCTTTGTCTTCTTCTTCTTCATCCTCAAGACCCTCGACGCGATCTGGATGGTGGACAGGGTCTCTGCGTAGTTGCCAGCCACCCCCGAGATGTGAGCGATCATGGTGGTGCGACAGTTCACGTTCCCCAGGGACTCACGCAGCAGCATGGTAAGCTTGCTGTCTCTGCCGAGCAAGTGCATCGAGCTGCATTAGCGTGGCGGCTGTCAGGGCAGGACTTCAGGGCTCAACAGGGCTATTTGGGGGTGGGTGGTGGCTTCCTTTTTGTTTTTAATGGCATACTAATTAGCCTGATTTTGCAGCATGGGGCTATTTGTACTTGGCAGCTGAGCAAGGGCTGCTAACTCCAAGGATGAAATTCATGCAAACACCTCCCTTGGCACCACCATCCTAGCTGTGTGGGTGTTTCCGTGTGTCTGCGTGTGCAGACATCGCACGTAATGAGGCCTGGGACTAGAAAGGAGAAGGGATCGAGAGGAAAGGGCTTTGTGGCGGGTGATGGGCACACTCCCTGCACATGGGCCAGCCCTGCAGTGAACAGCATCCCCCACTTGTATGAGGATCTATGCTTGTGTGACATGTGTAGTGTCTTTTGCCAACAGTTTATTGTCATTGTCTTTTAACAGTCATATTTGCACCTAGTGACATTGAAGGAAGAGGCATTTATATTCCTGGTAAGTGGAGAAGCACAGACACAGGCCCAAACACTCACTGGGCAACAGAAAGCAGAACTTTTTAGAAAGAACTCCTCTGGAAACTTTGCTATTGCTGTGTAGGGCCAGCGTCCCAAGTGGCCATAATGAGGCCTGGGGCTCTTTAAGAAGTGGCCTGCAGAAATGGCTTGTGCTGTTCTGTTCCTGCACTTGTCCCAGTGGTTGTCCTGCCTTGCTTTTAAAAGGCTCCACTTATTGCCACACAGCTGCCACCAAGTGTCACTTCATCCCTGGAGTGTCCCCCTTCCTGAAGACTGAGGCCTCTGGGTTTTCCATGTCCCGAGTTCATATCTCTGTTGGAAAGGAGGAGTGTCCTCACACTGGGCCCCTGAAGGGCCCCTGAACTGGAGAGGGGACTGTCAAGTTCAGCAGATTTTGTGGGAGGTGCAGCCACCATCAGCAGAGAGTGGACAGGCTGAACACCTCCTTGCCATCTGGGACCAATTATGGTGTCGTTTGGGGATGCTGGGCTGACTGTGCCTCAGTTCTGGGGAATTTCTAAGTACACCAGGGCTTCTCTTCAGCAAAAAGAAATCAGCGGTAAAAGAGGTGGAAGGAGTGGGGTGTGGAGGGGACCGGGGCCCAGCTGTACACATTTAACTCTCTTCACAGGGTGTCCGCCAGGGACAGCATGGACACCACCTCTTGGCAGGGAAGTCAAGCCCCACTGACGGCAGCCACTCTGTGGAGCCAGTGCCTCTGGGTGAGCGCTGGCCTCACCTTCAATTCGGGAAGTGGATGATGGATTCCATTTGGGTTAGGCTGTGATCACACATGGTCAGTTCTTATCAGTCAGGTTCTATAAAAGCCCACGAACACTGAGTGGGTGAGCACGGAGCCTCGGCTCTTAGGGGAAGTATTTGGTTTAGTTCCTGGAACTCTGGTCACAACACTTTTGCCAACTGGTCAACAGTTTTATGTGAGTCTCTGTTGGGACCTCCTGATTTAATATGTCTCTTATCAATAGTGAAATATATGTAGTATTTCTTAGTAATAAAACATTTTCGAGAGGGTTTACCAGTTCCCTGGACCTGAGTGTCATGGCTGTAGATTTCTTTGACTTTCAGTGTCACAGTAGTTCTGCCCCAGGCAGAATTGTTCAGCATCTCATGAGTCTACAAACTCAGCAACTTCCTTTTTCCCAGTCTTCGCCATAAGCTGGACAAGTTTCCGTGGCACGTTGGCAGGGTGGCTACACAAAGGAGTCGGTGAGTTTCCTTCCCTCCTGCTGACGTTCACTAACGCTGAACTTGTCACAGCACCGTGATGCAGGCCCAGTGGAGCAGAGCGACACACGTACTTTCTCCATCAAGACACCTCGTAGCCTCCTTGTGCCCAGGTACGTTCGGCAGCACGCTGGAGGGTTGTTCTAAGATGGTGATTGAACTGGTGATTACCAAGCCAAAGAAGAGCAAAGGCAAGGCTCCACACAGAGCGGAAAGCATTCGCCTTGCTCCTCCTCAGCTGGGGACATGTGTGTTGCCGACTCAAAGTTTTCACCACCCCACGCGTGAACTGAAGTGATTGTTTAAGTGCTTTGAGTACTGATCTGCAGATGATGACGACTGACTGACTATACCACGGTGCTCCTGAGGGAAAGTCTTGCTAGTCGGTCCATGGCATCGGACTGAAGCCAGGCTCCTCTGGTGCCCTGTGTGACCTGTGTAAGTCTCCAGGAAAAGACACTGAAATCAATAAAAGGACTTAACGTAGTGTCCACCTGCTGGCCCTGCGTGTTCCACACGATTCCCGTTCAGGATACAATCACGTGGACAAGTGTTTATTGCTGTTTTGATTTTTAAACCCACATGGTTGGAAGAAGTCACGGCATGTGTGTCACTGGGTGACCAGCATGTCCTCGCTGTGGAAGGAAAGCCAGTGGCACTGCTAGCCAGCCTCTTTCACGTGGGCCTCTAGACTCAGACACCCGCAGTGCAGTGAAACAGCTTACTTTTTCAGCCTTACGACACTTCACCCTGGAGCAGAGGGAACTAAGCGAGAGAGGTGGGTGAAGGAAGTCGCGGGATGCCCAAATGCCAGGGGGGCTTAAACTCAGCATCTGGGAGGGAACCGAAAAGTTTCCACAGAGTTTTGAGCCAGTGGTCAGCAGCTACTCAGCTCAGGACTGAGTGAGATGGAGACGTGCAGAGCTGCGGACGCCCTGGCTCCTGTGCCCAGGTGGATGAAGGAGCAGAGACTCGGGGCCACATGGAGGGACCCTGGCTATGGAGGGCAGGTGGGCAGCAGCAGGAAGGGTGGGCGACAAGGTAGCACTGGCTGGTGTCCATGTTTTGTGGACATATCCTCCTCCTGTCCATCATGGCCACACATACCTTTATAAACGATTTTTTTTAAGTCTTGCTTTCTGAATGTGGTATTTATACACAAGGGAATACTACTCTGCCATGAAGAAGAATGAAATCTTATCATTTGCAGGTAAATGGATGGAACTCGAGAACATCATCCTGAGCGAGGTTAGCCAGGCTCAGAAGACCAAAAATCCTATGTTCTCCCTCATATGCGGACTTTAGATCCAAGGCAAAGGCAGTAATGTTGTTGGACTTGGGTCATACGCTAAAGGGAGAGCACATACAGGAGGAATGGGGATAGGTAGGAAACCCAAAACTTGAAGGTGTTTGATGTGCCACTGCAGAGGAGCTAAAACAGTAGTCTTAAGGTGACAGAGGTCAATATGGGAAGGTGACCGGGAAGTAGTGAAGAGGTCAGGTACAGATGAATCAATTCGGGTTGTATTACGCTTGTGCATGGAAGCAATGCTAGGAATCTCTCTGTATAGCTATCCTTATCTCAACTAGCAAAAACACTATGTCTTGCTTATTATTGCTTATGTCTACTCTTCAACAAGATTGGAGAAGAGGGCAGAACAGGTTCTGCCTGGAAGCGAGGGGGTGGGGGGGAGAGGGACGGGGTGGGAGGCGGGTGGGAGAGATGGCCCAAACAATGTATGCACATGTGACTAAATGAATAAAGAGAAAAAAATCTTGCTTTCTGAAAGAAGGCAACTCCTTCATTAAACGTAACCAGCAGTCAGGAAAAGAAAAGGATGATGAACACACCGTATTTCATTTATTACTTATTTATTTATTTTGCTGTGTTGGGGATCAAACGTAGGGCCTTGTGTGTGCTAGGTAAGTGCTCTGAGCCCCACCTCAGCCAAGGAACACATTTTATTGGTAATTTTTAAAGAACACGAACATGCACGCAGCACTCTAGACCAGGGACTGAAAAGCCAGGGTCGGGCAAGCCAAATTTTGCCCACTACCTGTTTTTATAAATATTCAGGGAAACACAACCACACCTAACTGTTTACACAACAGGAGTTGCATGGTTGTATCAGAGACCACAAAGCCCCAAATACTAATACCTGGGCCTTTGCAAAACAAAACAAAACAACAATGTGCTAACCCTTCTCTAGAGCAAAGACATAACACGGGACGGTTCAAGAGACAGGAGATCAGCCTAAGACTCTGATCCCTGTCTCACGGCTGCCTGTGCTGTTCTGCTTTAGGTCAGCTGTTTCACGGAAGGAGAAACTCAGTTCCATGGAAACAGGCTGTGTTAGCCTCTCCATCACTCTGACAAAAAGCAACTTAAGAGAGGGAGGATTTCCTATGGCTTCGGAGGTTTCAGTCCATGGTTGGCTGGCTCCGTTTCCGAGCATGTGTTGAGGTAGTGTGCCATGACAGAGGAAAGCCACCATGGCAGCTGGGAAGCAGAGAGCAAGAGGAAGGACCAGAGACAAGAGACACCCTTCAAAGGCACGTCCCCCTCCATTGGGCCTACCTCCTCACAGCCCACTCTGCTATGGACTCATCAATGCGTTGATCCATGGATGAAGTGAGCACACTTGAGATCCAATCACCTCTCAATGGTGCCACCGTCTGAGGACCGAGCTGTTAACACTTGAGTCTTGAGGGGACACTCCCCAAACCATAACATAGGCAAGGAGGAAGTGATCTTGGCTTTAAAGGTCACTGGAGTAGCAGGTACAGCCACTGGTGACTGCCTACTGCATGCAGCAGTCTGTGAGGCCATTCTCGCTCATCAACTCATTAGTTCATTACTGTATGCACCTGCTAATTCAACGAGCATTAATTGACCACTGACCAGATAACAGACTGACTGTACTTAAGAAGCCCGTTATCCAGTGAGGGGAAGAGGTGTGTGATATCATTTGATAAAGCTGATGACAAGAGGTGTCAGCAAGATGGCTGACTAGAAGCCCTTAATACTTGCCCCCAAAGAAGCAAACAACTACATTTTGATGAAAATTACTAATGGAGAGCACCAGAGTGTATCACAGGAGTAGCAGAAACCCTGCAGGGCACAGAAACCAGGGGGATCACAGAGAGTAGAGAAAGGAAGCACCCTGGAAGAGAAGACTGTGCTATCAGATTTCAGAGCTTGATGCAGGAAAAGGAAGAAAACATG